GATTCCTTATAATATTGCCTAATGGAAGCATATATAATGTGAACAAAATAGGTCCGAGCACTGAACCCTGTGGCACTTGTTAGAGATTAAAAGGGATATCTGGTCCGCTTTTCAAATCTCCGTGCGTCCCTATCAAGCTGGTTAATACAGGAAGGAATCCAGACCTACCAAGTAACCGTTAATCTACTTTAATGGTAATATGACAATACAATACAATCAATACAGTACAAATGCAATACAGTTAATCTTTGGGATCCCGAATTTACTTGCACGTGAGCCAGCCAGAGGAAAGAGGCTGAACACCGCGTGTGTGTCTGTGTTTATACTCTTTGACAATGGGAGGAGTTATCAGATCCTCCCATTTGGTCCTCCTTGATTGGCAGCCCCAAATATCACAAACACCTCCGACCTTAGGTTTCCCCAACCACTGTAGCAAGATCTAAGTTGAATGCAAATCAAGACATGCTCTCACCTTCCCCCATCTTCCTTTGTCCTCAAAAACACATGTCAACAGGCCCCAAATCCAGCTCACAGTTTTACCCAAATTATTCCCATTTTAAGCTTATCCATAGTTTGCTAACATGAATAAATACAAATATTTCACTACACACTCCATGGCTAACTTTGGTTTGCGTGGAAGATTCATCGTTAACACGTACAAACTGAGAGCGTTCAAATAGATAGGACCTAAACCAGCCTAAAGCAGTTCCCTGTATGCCAACTAAGTGCTCTAGTCTTTGCAATAGGATATCATGATCGATAGTATCAAATGCAGCACTGAGATCGAGCAAAACAAGAATAGAGACAAGTCCCTTGTCGGAGGCTATTAGAATGTCATTTGTGACTTTAACCAGAGCTGTCTCTGTGCCATGATGTGTTCTAAAGCCAGACTGAAAATCTTCAAATAAATCATTGTTTTTTAAGTAATCACACAACTGTTTTGCGACCGCTTTCTCAAGAATTTTTGAGAGGAACGGAAGATTAGAAATAGGTCTATAGTTGGCTAAAACCTCTGGATCGAGGTTGTGCTTTTTAAGAAGCGGTTTTATCACTGCTACTTTGAATGATTGTGGAACATAGCCTGATAATAAAGACATATTCATAATATTTAATAAAGAAGTGCTAATTAATGGAAAAACTTCCTTCAACAGCTTAGTTGGAATTGGGTCTAACATGAACGTTGATGGTTTAGAAGAGAGAATCATTGAATTTAATTGTTCAAGGTTAATGGCTGAAAAGCATTCTAGTTTACTATCTAGTGTAATATTAGAACTTACGTTTCCGGGAGCTGTTGATAACACTATACTGGTCAAAGGCAAGAGGTCATTAATTTTGTTTCTAGAGTAACAATTTTATTGTTAAAAAAGCACATAAAATCATTACTACTGAGTGCTATGGGAATAGAAGGCTCAGCCTGGCTACAGTGCTGAAAATAAATCTTGCATTATTCTCATCTATTAATGAAGAGTAGTAGGCTGCTCTCGCTTTACGCAGTGCTTTCTTATATTCATTGAGGGTAATATGCCAAATTAAACAAAATTCTTCAAGTTTAGTGGAACGCCATATCCTTTCAAGTTGTCTCGACTTTTGCTTTATTTTGTGGGTTTCGGCATTATGCCATGGAGCTAATCTATGTTGTTTTATTTTCTTATTTTTCAAAGGAGCAACAGAGTCTAATTTTATTCGCAGCGCATCTGTAGCACTATCAACAACATGATCAATTTGGGGTGGTGTACATTTTGTATAAGTTTCCTCCCTTATATGCAGACATGCTATCGAGTCAAGTATTGGTGGAATCTCTTACTTAAAGGAGACCTATCATGCTATATTTAAATGATATAGTGTATGACCATACCTATATAAGGTATATTTATACATTTTATTTTTCAAAATACCAAACAGATCATTTTTTAGCCATGCCTCGTTTCGCTCATTTTCGCTCTTTTCCAAGCCTGTCTTTGAAAATTCTGAGCAGCAGCTGACCACGCCCCCCTGCAGAAGAGCGGGGCATGAGCCGGTGAGAGTCACGTTAACATGCTTGCTGTGATTACGAGTGTGGAATAAACATGTCATCTCAGAGCAATGCATGTGTTCAAGCGTATTATCAATTTGATCCAGAGACTGACCCTGAAGCAGCGGAGGTTTTGGTGGAGGTGCAAACATCTCGGTTGCAGCAGGACGTTTCTGAATGGTTAGTTGACAAGCTGTTGTTCCTATTTATTTTTACTCTGTTACGATGATTGCTACTTATTCCGTTCATATTTTGGCTAATTAGCAAGAATGCTATGTGTACAGTTTATAACTTAGAGCTTGTAACGCAAAAACAGCGATACATATATATATTTATAAAGGGAGACATTCATATTTTCAGCATATATACAATGGCCTCATTGCGTTTATTAATAGTTTACAGCCCTTTTCTTCCAACATCGTGCAACAACCGTTGGAAAGTTCAATAACTTAGGGTGATAAAAAGTATAACTCCAACAACACCTCAGTTGTCAGCAGTGTGTGTAGTTTCATGTGTTTTTAAAAGCTCAGTTATTGACTTCTTTCTACAGGTGTACATGTGCAAATTGCGCCACGATGCCTTCTGAACGGAGAATGTGTGCTGCATGGCGATACCACAGGTAACATTTTTGATAGCTTCACTAAGTTGTCTGTTTAGAGAATGCATTTTTAACATGTCATTCAATATATCTTTATCACACTAGGTGTCAAGATGGATGCAGGAACTTGAGGACTCTGTAACCTGTGGTGGACCATCCTGGATTGGAGCCTGTGTGCCTGAATGTGTTCTCCCTGCAGAATGCATTGAATATTTACAGAGCTGAACATGGTGGACTACAGTTGAGGCAAATAGAGCAGTGAGTGGTTTGTTTCTTTTGACTGAAATTGTAAAACGAATGCCAATATTGTTCATGGAAATAAATACTGGTGTATATGGCTTTATGCAATCTTTCATTGTACATGTACTATTATATATATATATATATTATTACACAGCAATGGCATAACACACCCAAGTGTACGACAAAAAAAGTCCACACACAACCTTATGCTTTTGAAATCAGAATATTCTTTACCCATCCAAACATGAATAATCACGACACATTTGATATCAACTCGGAACTTTATTGTCAAAATCAACGGTTCTTTGAACCCATAAAAAAAAACTAAATGTACTTGTATTTTGTATAAATGACACAATATATTTTTTTAATGATTGCAGGCGTCACAGGTATCTAGCCTACAGAAGCTTTGTGAGCTGGTGCTGGGGCTTCCTTGGACGCAGGATCAGAGTGGTGATTCCGGCCTGCGTTGTCCTCAGGATTCGCAGGGAGTTTCCTGATCCGCGAAATGTGTATGTTGGGTTCAGACGGCAGCCAAATTGAACTGTGTAGCATACCCGGAGATGACCTCCTCCCTGTCAGGTCGCTCATATTGGGAACACAGGTCCTCTGGGATGGGTATCTTCAGAAGCTCCTGTGTGAATGGTGCAGGGTCCACAAAGACTTGGTCGAATATGAGGTCCATCAAGTTGGCCACGTAGCCTGTGCAATATTAAAAAAAGCACAACAAAAAATGTGGTTTAGATATGCATGTAAAAAACTGAAAGTTCTTTCTAATTTTTTTATTTTATATTTGTAAATAGTTGTATAATAAATATTTTAAACACTTACGGAATGTGGGGTCAGTCTTTACTGGTTTTGCTCTGCATTCTCCCTTCCTGGCCTTTGGGAACTGCAGTTTATATAGAGGGTTTCCAGTGGATGTAGTGGCTTGTGCACGCTCAGCGTTTTCATTGTAGTGCAGGGCTGCCAGGTACAGTCTTTCATTTCCGCCATGAGGGGAAAAAAAGTAAATATGGAGCAAAGCGCAGGATGACGGCATGGAATGACTCCAAAGATGAAGTCTGGTGGTGTGGGCTGAGTTTGGCCACAGCTTTCAAAATCCTCTTGGTTGAGAGAATTGTCTCCAGCTTGTGAAAGGCCGGCGTTCCTAAGAATTTGAAAATCAAAGTCATATTTGAATTGTCATGCTTTATAGATTGTGTCTGACAACATCCTGTATTCAATAGTTGTCCCTTACAAATATTTATAGAGGAGTAATGTAATATGGTTTATGAACAACATACCTGCAGCCATCCATTGGTATTGCGCAATGCGCAGTGGATGAAGGCACTTAGGGAACCATTTGGCCACTCTCTCAGGCCCGGTGGTGGAGGTTGCTGCAGTCCAGTATATGTGGTTTCTTATACTCTTCACCCACCCTCAAAGTTTTTCGCAGTCCTTTTTTGCAGCCTTCTCCAGTTGCTTAAAAATCCCTAATAAATACATTTAACATGTAGTTAATATACATACAAGTTTACTCAAAATATTATTATTATAGAAATTAACATAAATAAAAATACCTTTTTCTATGTGCCACACATCAAAGAATTGGGTGATGCTGTTTTCCCTTAGGAATTTCTGAATTTGCAGATGTCTGTCCGTGACAATACAGTCCAGAGTCACACCACGTTCCTTTAACAACTCCAGACTCCTTTTCAGGCCCTCTAACTCCATGTGGTAGCTTCCACCAACCTCATTGCTCTGTTATGACACATACAAATAACCATTGATACACACATTTTAAATATAACATGCAAACAGTGTTAAAGAAAAAAACATTGATATTTCATTTCACCCCACTTACCTGAACCAACTGGAGGTCAACGACTTTGTTGTTCTTCAGGTCCATCATAGTGTAGCTTCAGAACTTTGCATAGTGGCCTGTGAAAATATGTTTTACAGTAATTACTTTTCTCTGCGGATGGTGAATTTGTATTTTTGCTTGTAGTGTTTAGCATATGTTTTTCAGGAACCATTAATTGAACAAATCACACATAGTGAAACCCCTTTCTGAAATGTAAAATGTGAATTATATAAAAAATACATACCTGGAGAGTCAGCCCTCATATCACCACCAACTATCACTTTCTCCTCTGCATGGAGCCTCTGTAGCATGCCTTCCTGTGATTTTTGCCAGTAAGAAACAATCGCTGGCTCAATGAACATCCTGGCATGCCTTCGGAAGGTGTTGTATTTGCATAGCTGCATATTCATTGTTTGAAGACCTAATGGTTGAAAGAAAACCGCAAGAACACATTTTAATCTCAAAGATCACCTGTAGATTTGTTGACGAGTCGATGAGGAGAACCTGGAAAGTGCAAATGAGCTGCCCTTTTTTAAACAGGGAAAGAGCTGAACATGTCATTATTTTATGTCATCATTTTCTCACTCTTGTTATTGTTACCTTGTCCTATCGTATTTAACAACAACATTTGCATTTTCAAACATTGGCAATACAATCTTCTGCAGTTAATTTACCTTTGAAAGTTTGTAGAAAGATGCTCTGTTGACATATGTTGCAACTGATAGCTGCAGGTTTCCAACTGGAGTACTCCCAAGAACAGGCTGGCTATTCCAGTTTCTTGTAAACTGACAATGGGGGCACAGCTGCTGCACTGATATGAATGTACCGATCCTTCTGGTTTGTACATTACACACACGCTTGCACACAGGACATGATTCAAAAAGCTCCATGAGGCAGGTCTCATACACGATGTATGTGTTGATCGTCTGGGGGGGGTTTTGTTCTTGACCACTAAAACAAAAAAATAGAAGTTAATATCCATCACACAGATTGTTGCTTTAGAGATCTTTGGTGTTTCCCTATTATCAATGTTTGAATTATATACAGCAAAAAATACAATACATAGACAAACTCACACATAGTGACATTTCAGTAACTTACGACATGGCTGTTGTTTCTGTAGCATTTGTTATGGATTCTGCTGGATCATAAGTTGCATCCTGGCCTTCGGAAATCACCAAAGAAGAGCTTCCCTCAAATGGATCTTCGTATTCCTCTTCAAGATCCACACGGGGCCTCTTTGGTGGTCTCTTTAAGGGGGTGGATGTTAAAAAGGGCACTGGCACTTCCAACGGAAGTGTTTCGACACCAACGCTTCTGCAGGGAATTTTAGCCTGGACAGCTGTAACATAATTGTATTTGACATTAAAAACAAAACAAAAGATAAAACAAACATATTTTACAACAATTAGAAGCACACAAATTAAAGGCTACAACATCAGAATGTCAAGATGTATCCAAAGAACATTTGAAAAACGTGCTTCTAACCTGTACTTCGATGTGAACCAAGAGTCCTCGAGGATAGCTGTGTACGAACAGTACGGTACTTGGGTGGGTCAGTCTGACATGCAGAATCTGTCATCACAGGTAATCTGCTGGTAGCATGTGAGGTGCTGGCCTGTAAAGAAGAAAACAAAATCATCTCAATTTAGTATTCAGGATGAGAAAATACTATTTGGATAAATATCGTCTGAAATCCCAAAAGATGGGGGCTAAAACTCTCTATTTAGCAAAGCTCTTTGCTTAGCCTTTTCCAATCTGAGTTAGTTTTGAACCGTAACGTGCATGCTGTGTTTCTGACTCAATACAGATGATGTGTTGGAGAGGGGCTGAGCTCAGTAGACTGACTGTAATGAGTGCTAGCCACTAATTAGCCTGTTGCTAGGTAAGGCCTCGTCAACAACAACATACCAACGGGGCTTTAGTTCTGTTTTACTCATGGTGTGTGTCCCCCCTCACATACATACAGACCCGGCGGCAGACCTACGTCTCTGGGCGGGCATTTGATTTACCAGGGCGGGCCCACCCCGAAATTCACATTTCCCGGGAAATCTCGAGATTTGTCAAGGGGGGGGGGGGGGTTAGGTTGCCATAAGGCTGTTGACGGTCTTATTATAGACTACATCCATTGGTTGGTTTTGTGGCACATTTGTAACGCTGTGCCAACTTGGGCAAGCATGCAGGCAAACTTGAGCACACACAGGGTGGAGAGGTGAGCGATTGAGAGAAAGGGAGAGAGAGAGAGATTGAGCGAGGCAGAGAGCATGTGCAGCGGTCTGCTTGCGCACAGAGCAGGAGTTTGTGAGAGCCGGCTTGAGAGTCAATTTCTCTTCAAAATATAATTGATTGCCAGCCTCCCTTGTCCCTGGCTGGCTTGCTAGCTCGTTGGTAACTGATGTCTTCTAATATGCCTGCATCTGGCGCTGAGTTGCCATATTCCTTTCAAGTGTATAAGTGTGAACCACTTCCTGATATCCATTGTTGCAGATAAATATAAATGATAATAGCCAAACTAACCTAGCAAGCGTAAACTGACAGGCTGCTGTGCCGCATCTCACTCAAAAACCCACACGACTCAACCCAGCGAAAAACCAGTCTCGCGCGCAGCCTTTCATTCAGAATTTCATTCAGAATTTCATAGCATAATAAAAAAAATTATATTAAACTAATCTTTCAACATAGTTTAAAACAAAAATAAATATTAGGACAAAGCCCTACAAATAACAACAATAAACATAATCAGTGGCGGCTCCAGAGTGTTTTTGTTGGGTAATCTATGGTAGGGCTAACCCATACAGTGGTGGGGCTCAAATCAGTATTTGCAATGTAATTACATACACGCTCCCCTTGACAGTGAAACGCCAAGCGTGAGGTTTAGATTATTTCCCTGTCTCAATCCAAATTGAACTGTATGAAATAAAAAGGCACATTTGTGTTGTCGTAAATAAAAAGGGCGACCTGGAGCCAATCCTGCTATTTCCCCACAGGTGAAAGAGTTGACATGCTGAAAACCCAACCCCTGCAGGGGGGTCTGGGGGGGATTCTCCCCCAGGAAATACTAACATAAAATACACATTCTGGTACTCTCTTGAGAAGAAAAATAAATAAATCTATTACTACACGACATATTTAAAAAATGAATGCCATTTTAGTTTTCTGTTACTTTGTTCTGAAAGCTGAACCTGCTGCTCCTCACAGAGAGAAGAGGCTGTGTGAATGACTTTACATTGTGGATAAGGGTGGATAGCCCCCATTGTTCTGTGTGTCAAAATGAAAGACAACCGACACACCTATCAATCATCAAACCGTGGGGTCTTATTTCATTACGTGTTGATTCCTATCAACACGTAATGTTGTATCGATGTATATAGAGATCAGCGACGTGCAGTCAGGGGAGGCAGAGCCTCACCTGTCATACTCCAATGTAACGGAAAAACAACTAAAGAAAACCGAAATAGTAATAATAATAAAATGTCTCCACTGATCTGTGTTGTGATTTCTGTATGATTACAATCGCTTTTTATAGTGAAAATCAGCAAATTGGCCGAGCTCCGCTACAACTATGGGAGCGAAGAGGAGTGAGGCAGGGACGAGCTCTGGCTCACCTAAGCCCACAGTAAATTGCTGGAGTGCGGGCACTAATGTAGCGCGGGCACTTATTTTGTGAGCGCGCTCAAGCCAGTTACTGTGGGGTCAGGTCACCTCAGAATGCGTCACCCCACAGAAACTGGCTGGAAAGCGGGCCCTAAGCGCATGCCTGTTACCATCTCACTGTATGTCACCTATGTAATGTTTGTAGATCCCTTTATTACATTTATCCTCGCCATCCATAGTCTCTAAATAACTTATTTCACGTATATATGATATTTAGGCTCGCTGGTCTCACCATACAACGGCAATGAAAAAAGCACCTGGAGAGGCAGCCATAACCTCTGCCGCACTGAAGGGGGCGCACGTGAGCCCACATGTTCTTGTTGCTACTGTTATTCTACGCAGAGACGGTAACAACAAACTAGACTTTTGTTTTGAAACTAGAGGGAGATAAGGAGGACTTTTACAAAAATGTAATGGAGATTGTTGTCCAGAAGGATATCATGGACTTCATCTTCAAGTCAAGGTAAGACCACAATTGTAAAATGAACATGGGATCTTACTAAGAAAGAACAATCCAATATTTAGATTTGGGGTATCCTTTTGTTGAACAGTCTGTTTAAAATGAATCGAAGCATCAGACTAAAAAAGCTTTTGAAAATAACCGAACATTTCGATTAAGGTCAAAATATAATATTTGTAAATCTGACTCTGAAAGAGTCAGTGCCTCACCAGCCATGAACGTCACCGCACGTCACTGATAGAGATGTACTACAGCAAAAGTATTCTCCATCGGGACTTCCTGCAACAACACCACGCCGTTATCGTGATTCTGATTGGCCAGAAGACATTATCAAAGATGTTCTATTGAGAAGACGATCACTACGTGACAAAAGTTTTCAAACCGTTTCTAGTCTTCGGTATTTACTGCTGTCTGTGCAATTTACTCCGCGCGAGTTGGTGGACTTTATTTAGCTTACTTTAAAATCATTTTTCATGGTGGGGCTAAGCCATTTCTTGGTATGGCTGTAGCCTACCCCAGTATACCTTGGCGCCGCCACTGAACATAATAATAAAACAATTAAAATGTTGTATTCAGCCCTGATTAAAACAGCGGGCCCAAATCCTGGATGGGCGGGCCCGGCCCCATGGGGCCCGCCCATGACGCCGGGTCTGCATACATACACACAGTGTTGTATCCTAACACATCCCCATTTATATTCATGTGCGTAAACAAGTAAACATACAAAAGCTTTTACATATAACGCTGGAAAAAACAGCATGTCTCATTAGCGTAGCGTAGCTTAGCTTACAGATCTGATCGTTCTTACAGACTACAATCACAAAAGCTTTTACATATAACGCTGCAAAAAACGGCACTTACCTACAGAAGATTACGTTTGTTATTAGAACTTACTCAATATGATTTTAGAGGATACAAAATACTAATAAATAGGAGAATAAATACTTGTGTTATCGGCTAGGGCGTGGCTTTACAGCCTTCACACAGATCGCCATTACGGCAGTATGTCTGAATATGTTAGCAAATGCCTGATAATTAAAATAAAAGACAAAGCAAAGACTGCGGAGCGTACAATATAAAATGTTATAAAAACATATAAACACCTAACCGATTACTATTTGGGTTTGAGGCGACATTGATACGGCGAAGCTACATGCTACATGCTACATACTACAAGCTAGAGATAGCTTTATCAGGAAAAACACCGCTAAATAAAAACTTACAGCTTCAAAATTGGATGTGTCCTCACTGGCCTGCTCCCGGATGGTTGGTATTGATCCCGGGTTTAGCATTAGTTTGGAGGCATATCCGTGTTGGACTTGAGAGAAGTTCATAAACATGTCCGTGGTAAAATGTTTGGAACACCCAAACAGAAATCTGCCGTGGTCTTCTGGCACATGTCCCTTGAAAATGAAGTCTAGCCACAGATTATTTTCTTTTTCCACTGATGGCATTGCATGCAGTCCCCTGTCCCGAGTCTTGCAGCCAACAACAGCACAAAGTTTAACTCGCTTAGACATCCTGGCAAGAGCAGACAAAAACACAGATGTGACTGGAGTTGATTTAGCCTGCTGATAGCCTATATGCGAATGAGAGGTTTGGCAATGCACGTGGCCGTGGCTCATTCCCCTGATAGGTGGAGAGTTGACCAATAAGCGGAGCACGTCTCTTTGTGACATAGGAAAGTGTTGAAATCTGGATCCGTTTTTTTCAGATCCGTTTCAGCCACTTTTTTAGAGATTTGGCGAAGGAGGAAAATAGAGAGGGTTGTGTTTTCTGACACTTGGTGAGTTCCCTGGAACACCGGGGACACATATTCATGTATAAAAGACGTCCAAAGGTGCATTTTGCATGATAGGTCCCCTTTAAATTTGGCTATAGCACTAACAGATAGGTTTCTGCTGCAAGAGCTTTTGACTAATGCTTTGTAGTCTCGTAATAGTACTTCAAAAGTTACTAAGAAATGGTCGGATAAAGCAGGATTATGCGTTTCGACTAATAGTTGCTCAATTTCAATACCATAAGTCAGAACAAGGTCGAGAGTGTGATTATAGCAGTAGGTTGGTTTATTTACACTCTGACAGAAACCAACAGAATCTAATATAGAGTTAAATGCAACAGTAACGGTGCGTCCACACAGCAGCTTTGACCAAATCTTGAAAATCCTGGAGCTGGGCGTGTCTGACAGTTTGGGGATTTCGCGACCAACAACCAATCACATGAATATCACATGAATATCCCGCCCCCGACATACAAAGCAAAAAAACCCGGTTCTTCTACACTATTGTCAAATAGGAAGGGCTATGATGAACATTTATTTTTTTAACATTTTGAACATTTATGAGATTAATGTTTATGGTGCTATTTTATGGTACATTCCATGCTGGCTAATGATACTGTCTATGCTTGCTAGCAACGAAGTAAACTAGCAACGAAGTAAACTGGATATAAAATCCCCAAACAAGCGAAAACCTACCAGTTTCACGCACTGTCTCTGCCACCTCCCTCCATGCCTGGTTCCTCCGGTTTGTATCCCGGTAAGTAAATAGGGACTGGTCATAAAGAACCGGGTGATTTGCTACCGCAATAACTAAGTTCTCCTCCATTTTGGTGGAATATAGAAATGAACTGCGGGTCTCGTTCTCCCAGCTTGCACGCGGTTTGATTGGCTAGCGCTTGAACTGTCAGATTTGCATAAACGGATCTGATTGGCTGTCGCTTCCAGCTCAGCCTCAAAAGTTGAACATTGTTCAACTTTGGAATCCTGAACATCCTGGAAATCCTGGAAATCTTCGCCTCGCCCCCCCACAATGCAATTCGGCAACAAGCGAGGGAAAGTGACGTCATCCCCATTCAAAGTCAATGGGCGGAGACGCGCTGGAAGCGGTGGACAAATCGCCAAAAGCTGCTGTGTGTACGGGCCGTTAGGCTATTTTTATCATTGTCAACATGAATATTAAAGTCACCTATGATAATGACTTTATCTGTTTTAAATACCAAAGTTGATAAAAACTCATAGAATTCTGATAAGAATTCTGAACAAGGACCTGGTGCACGGTACACTGTAACAAATACGATTGGCTGCAAAGTTTTCCAGGTCGGATGCGTAAGACTAAAAACGAGGCTTTCAAAGGAGGTATAATTTAATTTTGGTTTAGTATTGATAAGTAAACTTGTATCAATGATTGCTGCAACTCCACCTCCTCGGCCCGTGCCTCGGGCAATATGAGTATTGATATGGCTGGGTGGAGTGGCCTCATTTATGCTGACATATTCTTCATGTCTCAACCAAGTTTCAGTGAGACAGCATATATCAATATTATAATCTGATATTAAATCATTTATCAATATTGCTTTAGATGCTAGAGATCTTATGTTTAAGAGACCACATTTAATATTCCTGTTTTGTTGCACTGTAGTAGTTGTTACATTTACTTTTATTAGGTTATTATTAGTGCTGTCAAAATTATCGCGTTAACGGCGGTAATTAATTTTTGGAATTAATTGCGTTAAAATATTTAACGCATGTGCAGAATGGCCGGCCCTTACGTGCCACCAGTGGCAGCGCCAGGGTATGGCTGGGGTAGGCTACACCCATACCAAAAAATTGCTTAGCCCCACCATGAAAAATGATGTTAAAGGAAGCAAAATAAAGTCTGCCAACTCGCGCGGAGTAAATTGCACAGACAGCAGTAGTAAGATTGATTTCAGTAGCCACGGTTTTGAAAACTTTTGTCACGTAGTGATCGTCTTCTCAATAGAACATCTTTGATAACGGGCGTGGTGTGTTGTTGCAGGAAGTCCCGACGGAGAATACTTTTGCTGTAGTACAGGGGTGCACATAACTGGTACGCAGGTTATGTGCGTAATCTCTCTGAAATGCGTACAGTCACTTGTGTCACAAAGGGCATTTGCGTACCGACGTACTTGTGAAGCTTTTCCAGAAGGCGGTTAGATCACCGGACGACAGAGTCGGTCTCCGTGTGCACAGACAGGGCTGCTGTTAACGTCGGTCTGTACAACGGAATTGTGCCAAAACTACGCCAACCGGCTACGGAGGGAGACTTCCCCCCTTCACTGGAGAACTGCGCTAAAACAGCTGATCACAACGTTCACACTCTGTGGTCACGAAGTACTCCACTAGCCCCCCCCCGTCGACTTTCCTGAAGTACTCCCCCGTTGATAGAAATCAACACGTAATGAATTAAGACCCCACGGTTTGATGATTGATAGGTGTGTGGGTTGTCTTTCATTTTGACACGCAGCATTTTTTTATAATAAACATAGATACTGTATGTTAAATGGATATATCCGCCTTCTTTCATTTATCTTTCCATTCCCACAACAATATACATAAATAAATGGCATATTTTGGACATAGTTCGAATGGTGATTAATCATGATTAATTAATTTTTAAGCTGTGATTAATCTGATTAAAATTTGTAATCGTTTGACAGCCCTAGTTATTATGTATGACACCTCTATTAGGTTTTACCTTAAATTGTCCTTGGGCAGACACACACACCGTTAATATTGGGTATTTTATTGGGTTCAGGATTCCTATGGATGACTGCCTAGGAGAGAGCGCAGAGAAGCGTGTAAGACTGCGACTCCGCCTCCTGGTCTCAACTCCAGTTTGTCATGGATTAAGTCCACAAAGCCCTGAAATGTTTGCTGAAATGAGATCTGCACCTTCCAAAGTAGGATGAATGCCGTCTCTCTTAATCAGACCAGGTTTTCCCCAGAAGGCTGTCCAATTATTTACGAAGCCCACATTGTTTGCTGGGCACCACCAAGACAACCAGCGCTGGTTTTATTATGAAAACGTCGAGACCGGAAATACTGTTTTCAACCCGTAACTTTACATGGAGGCTGCCGCACACCTCAAATCATCTTCGTAATATCTATCAAACTATAGGCTATATCCTACATATCGATTGGACGTGGATTCTAAAAATACAATATACACTTCTCGCTAGAAATCTAATCAAAAAGCGTTTTAATGGCCAAACTATTCTACAATTTAGGATTTTACAGAGGGTTATTTGTGAATAAACGACCATCTGTAACGTTTGCATTCAACGGGAGCAGGACGTATTAAGTGCTTGAACAAACGACATATTTGGTCGTAATAATTGGGCCTGAACAATCGGCATATTTGGTCGTATGAGCTGGAGGACTTGTTGATATTTTGCCTAGTTATCTGTCCTGCCCGGTTTTGACCCTGCCTGCCTGTTATCGGACCTCAAGTTTCGTGTCTGCCCCCTGATCGGATTTGTTTGCCTGTTTGACGGATCACCTGGTTCTGAGCCCTGTTTCTGCCTGCCCCTTAATTGGATTTGTTTGTCCGACTGCTGGATTTGCTGGTTTCGACCCTGCCTGTCCCTGACCCGAATAAACCGAACATTCTGAACACTGGTTGTATCTGTGTCGTACACAATCATATATGTAGGCCTATCCTGATGTGCAGGGTTCCTCTGGATGAAAACACATTTTGTATATTATACTACTGCCCAATTGCCCTCAAGGACAATTAGGGTTCATTAGCAATAGTGAACAGCCCCTGAACATTGCCCACCTGTTCTGTGGACACAGTGAGTTTTAGTCAACCTGAATCATTTTTATTAAGAAGTGAAGAAGTGAAATACTATGGCAGCTAATTTCTGCCACAGAAAATAAAAAAATCCTGTAATTCAAAATTATAATTTACTATCTCATTATTTGGAATGAAATTAACTTTAACATTTCTCATTCGTTTTAGATAGAAAGTCATAATGAGATAGTATGTCATAATAATTATATAGTATGTCAAAATAAAAAGATAGTAAATCATAATTATGATTTACAGGATCATTTCTTTATTTTCTTTGGCTGATATGGGCTTCCATAGCTATACGGAGGAGTGGGGCCTCTGTTTCACCCTATCTGTGCCGGGGGCCGCCGTCCTGCTGACGTCACGTCGGCAGGCTGATGGTTCCGCCCTGGCTCTCTTCCTGCTCAGCTCCTCTGTCTCTTCTCACGCCGCTCCGCCGCACAGAAACTCACAACTTCCAGAACCGGGAAACATCACATTTTGGGTACGTACCCCCCTCAATCAATGCTCACGATCCGCAGTCACTGAGCAGCCGCCCCAGCTAAAGCTAACTGCCGCGAGGCTCCAGTGTGTGACGGGTGTAGGGAGAGATGCGGAGGAGGGAGGGAGGGGTGTTGGTCGCAGATATACGCAGATAGAGGAAAAAAGTTACTCTTTGTGGGTAATACCGTTTACTCACATTTCACTGTCACGAATAAAGTCAGTCGTGACCCCCCAGCCTACATGGGGCTCAAATGTTAAACAACAATCTTAATGTGCTATGGTTCTCCTTTTTCCACCCTGTCGTTTCCTCTGTAGTTAGTTTAAGCTCTAAATGAAGGGAGGACGTCTGCTGGCAACACAGTAAGCACAGGGGCGGCGGGTACTGTAGGCTAGGGAAGGCTAAGCCTTCCCAAATATGTGTGTCACTGCATCTTGGTAAAATACAAATATAATGTTTGTGTCTTTGACATTAGCGCTACTATGCAGCCACCTGGATATGTTTGAGTTATCTCAACTAACCCTAACAAACGAGCGGTCCTACGACGCTGGTTATCAACTCGGTAAATCAAGCCAGGGTTTCTCTCCAGCTGAGAGCGCGTTCACGTGAAAGGGGCGGGGTTAGCTACATTTGACCAATCACAAACAGGGACAAGTGTACTGACAGCACAGCGTCATAGATGAGAGTAACTCCTACGTCACTTCCGTGCAAAAATTACGGCCCCGCCCACTTTTGGGGGAAAACAACGCTGTCATTTGAATGGCGGTCAATACAAATTCTGAAGTTTTTGCCAATCCGATCACATTTTTTTGAAAACCGTGGCTTTTTGGATCTTCAAAGAGCTCGATTACGATGGCCAGTCAGGCAAACAATTACATTCGATCATTGTAAATTGACAATCGGTCTCGATATATGGTTAAATTAAAATCAGTAGGCGAGCCTGTAATTTCTCCAGCTCTCTCTCTCATGAGCGAGGCGGAACATAATAGTTGTATCATGCCAACAAGCTGCCGTGTCGTTTATTGCACCTCAAAGATAAAAAATAATCAAGAGTTCAGTGCGTCTGTACTTCCTCTAAGAACAAAGGACAGTAACAGAAGAGCTCTGTGGCTTCAGGCTCGATCGCCATTCAAATGACAGCGTTGTTTCCCCCAAAAGTGGGCGGGGCCGTAAAGTGACGTAGATGTTACTCTCATCTATGAAAATCGATCGCCTACTGCTATATTTAACCATATATCGAGCCCGATCGTTGATTTATAATGGCTTAATGCAATTGTTTGCCTGTCTGGCCATTGGAATCAGGCTCTTTGAAGATCCAAAAGTCTCCGGTTTTCTTACATTTCTGATCGGATTGGCAAAAACTTCAGAATTTGTATTGACCGCTGTTCAACTGACAGCGTTGTTTTCCCCCAAAAGTGGGCGTAGCCGTTATTTTTGCCCGGAAGTGATGCAGTTGTTACTCTCATCTATACTTCATTGATGAAAAGTAAACTAATATTAGACAAATATGAACTTTAAACATCCATGATTTACACATATAATCCAGGATACAAGCCACATAGTTGCACCTGCAAGGAGAATACAGAACAACTGGTTAACAAATAAATAAACTACAGCGTACAACAGTTTTATGATACTGCCCCATAAGACACGAGGGGATCTGACTTTAATTACATTTGAGTTGAGTGTTTCGTCAACTTAATGTGTTGCTTAAAATAATATGTCTGCATACAGTATATGTGACAATGTAAGTGTTGCACGGCCAGATACGGCTCGAGAAGCTGACTCAGATAAGGAAATATATGATATATTATGATATTATATGATCGATGATTTGATTGATGATGTGATATCAGTGTGATATGAATGATAAAGTGCGACACGTCGGCGTCTTCTCTGCAACGGCAGTTTAAACTGTATTTCCTTTATCCTGTAATATGACTTGATAGATTTAAACTCCGCACACTGAGCTCTGATTGGTCAGCAGGCGGTGCTTTCACTGAGTTGATCTGTTTTCTTTAGACGCCGGAGGCGGGCAGCGTCAGGTAAAATAAAGTTATTTAGCCTTCCCAAACCTGAGCCTCACGCACCGCCTATGAGTAAGCATTATCTGATAATTCAGGACGAGGCTGCTGACGGCCTTTCTTTGGATGTGCTGCCGGGCTTCACAGTAATCTGTTACAGTGTAGGGGGGGGGTGTCTCATACTTAATGTAACAACTCCATCAGGTGAGCAGATGAGTGCGTGATGTATGTTGCAGCAATACACGGTAGGGGTTTCACAACTACCAATATTTACTAGTCGACGCGTTTTTCAAAATAGCAGTCGACTAGTCGTTACGTCATAATAAAGACACACAAAGAGAGGTGTACAACTGTATTTTATATCGGAACTCATACAGTTACATTAAACACTGCATTTTAATGTGTGTTACATGGCTGAGTAAATAACAAACAGTAACTGGACTTAGTAAATAACAAACAGTAACTGGACTTAGTAAATAACAAACAGTAACTGGACTTAGTAAATAACAAACAGTAACTGGACTTAGTGAATAACAAACAGTAACTGGACTTAGTAAATAACAAACAGTAACTGGACTTAGTAAATAACAAACAGTAACTGGACTTAGTGAATAACAAACAGTAACTGGACTTAGTAAATAACAAACAGTAACTGGACTTAGTGAAATAACAAACAGTAAACTGGACTTAGTGAATAACAACAGTAAACTGGACTTAGTAAATAACAAACAGTAACTGGACTTTAGTGAAATAACAAACAGTAACTGGACTTAGTAGAATAACAAACAGTAACTGGACTTAGTAGAATAACTAACAGTAAACTGGACTTAGTAAATAACAAACAGTAACTGGACTTAGTGAATAACAAACAGTAACTGGACTTAGTGAATAACAACAGTAACTGGACTTAGTGAAATAACAACAGTAACTGGACTTAGTGAATAACAAACAGTAACTGGACTTAGTGAATACAACAGTAACTGGACTTAGTGAATAACAAAATAACGGACTTAGTGAATAACAAACAGTAACTGGACTTAGTAATAACAACAGTAACTGGACTTAGTGAATAACAAACAGTAACTGGACTTAGTAAATAACAAACAGTAACTGGACTTAGTAAATAACAAACAGTAACTGGACTTAGTGAAATAACTAACAGTAACTGGACTTAGTGAATAACTAACAGTAACTGGACTTAGTAAATAACAAACAGTAACTGGACTTAGTAAATAACAAACAGTAACTGGACTTAGTGAATAACAAACAGTAACTGGACTTAGTGAATAACAAACAGTAACTGGACTTAGTGAATAACAAACAGTAACTGGACTTAGTGAATAACAAACAGTAACTGGACTTAGTGAATAACAAACAGTAACGGGACTTAGTGAATAACAAACAGTAACTGGACTTAGTGAATAACAAACAGTAACTGGACTTAGTGAATAACAAACAGTAACTGGACTTAGTAAATAACAAACAGTAACTGGACTTAGTAAATAACAAACAGTAACTGAGTAATAACAAACGTAACTGGACTGTAGTAAATAACAAACAGTAACTGGACTTAGTAAATAACAAACAGTAACTGGACTTAGTAAATAACAAACAGTAACTGGACTTAGTGAATAACAAACAGTAACTGGACTTAGTAAATAACAAACAGTAACTGGACTTAGTAAATAACAAACAGTAACTGGACTTAGTGAATAACAAACAGTAACTGGACTTAGTGAATAACAAACAGTAACTGGACTTAGTAATAACAAACAGTACTGGACTTAGTAAATAACAAACAGTAACTGGACTTAGTGAATAACAAACAGTAACTGGACTTAGTGAATAACAAACAGTAACTGGACTTAGTGAATAACCTAACAGTAACTGGACTTAGTAATAACAAACAGTAACCCTGGACTTAGTAAATAACAACAGTAACTGGACTTAGTGAATAACAAACAGTAACTGGACTTAGTGAATAACAAACAGTAACTGGACTTAGTTGAATAACTAACAGTAACTGGACTTAGTGAATAACTAACAGTAACTGGACTTAGTGAATAACAAACAGTAACTGGACTTAGTAAATAACAAACAGTAACTGGACTTAGTGAATAACTAACAGTAACTGGACTTAGTAAATAAACAAACAGTAACTGGACTTAGTGAATAACAAACAGTAACTGGACTTAGTGAATAACAACAGTAACTGGACTTAGTGAATAACAAACAGTAACTGGACTTAGTAAATAACAAACAGTAACTGGACTTAGTGAATAACAAACATTACTGGACTTAGTGAATAACTAACAGTAACTGGACTTAGTAATAACTAAACAGTAACTGGACTTAGTAATAACAAACAGTAACTGGACTTAGTGAATAACAAACAGTAACTGGACTTAGTGAATAACAACAGTAACTGGACTTAGTGAATAACAAACAGTAACTGGACTTAGTGAATAACTAACAGTAACTGGACTTAGTAATAACAAACAGTAACTGGACTTAGTGAATAACAAACAGTAATGGACTTAGTAAATAACAACAGTAACTGGACTTAGTGAATAACAAACGTAACTGGACTTAGTAAATAACAAACAGTAACTGGACTTAGTGAAATAAACAGTAACTGGACTTAGTGAATAACAAACAGTAACTGGACTTAGTAAATAACAAACAGTAACTGGACTTAGTGAATAACAAACAGTAACTGGACTTAGTGAATAACTAACAGTAACTGGACTTAGTAAATAACAAACAGTAACTGGACTTAGTGAATAACAAACAGTAACTAGACTTAGTAAATAACAAAACAGTAACTGGACTTAGTAAATAACAAACAGTAACTGGACTTAGTAAAAACAAACAGTAACTGGACTTAGTAAACAAACAGTAACTGGACTTAGTAAATAACAAACAGTAACTGGACTTAGTAATAACAAACAGTAACTGGACTTAGTAATAACAACAGTA